CTACTCTCTCTCTCTCTCTCTCTCTCTCTCTCTCTCTCTCTCTCTCTCTCTCTCTCTCTCAGTTCTTTCAAAAAACTAAAATTTTGGATTTGTATGATTGAAATTGTAAGAAATATCTTCTTTTATGGTTCAGAAAAGCTTGGAAAATATCTTAATTTTTCTTTCTGATTATATTATTACTGTTTATATGATTTTGATTTATTTATTGAAATTGTGAGAAATATCTTCTTTTATGGTTCAGAAAAGCTTGGAAAATATCTTAATTTTTCTTTCTGATTATATTATTACTGTTTATATGATTTTGATTTATTTATGACTTATAGTGTTTGATATGTGTTCTTGAATTTTTGCAGGTGGGCTATTAGAGACACTTAAGGTAGATCACTGCAAGATCTACTTAAGGAAATACGGCCTTCGATTAACGGGCAAGAAGGATATTCTCCTTGATCGTATAAAGGAACATCTTGAGTATGTATATTAGTTTCAGCTACTGTGTATCTACATTTTATACAGTCTCAGGATACAATTTTCTTTGGTCAATTGCAGACCTTGAAACTTAAGAATTTGGTTGATTTCTGAGTGATGTGTTTAACAGATGCTTATTGGTTTTCACTGGAAAGTTCAGAGTGAGGATAATTATTTATACTATGTCTAAAAAGTTCAGAGTTTAAATTTCTGACCAAAGTCAAATAGAATTTTGCTTGAATTCAGCTGAAATTTGGGGGGATTTTTTGCGGAATCTGAGTCTCTGGTTGATTATTTCATGTTAGCATGTTAAAATTGTTAAAGTGTATTTTCTAGAAAGTATATTAGTTTTTATGTTATTTATCATGAGTGATGTAGTAAGGTTGCACTTGTAAGTTTGTATAGTAGGAAGTTGTAAAACTACTAGGTGGTTAGTAGTTATTGTTGCAAGTGGTTAGTTATTGTAGGAAATATAGTTGTAAAAACTTCTATTTAAAGATTGGTGTGTGGTGAGAAAACTGGGTCACATGTATTAAGGTTAATCTTGGGTGTCAAGATTGTAATACCTCTGGGTACCCCTGGGTCACATGTATTAAGGTTAATCTTGGGTGTCAAGAGTGTAATGCCTTTGTGTACCCCATGTTTTTTCTTGAATGAATGTTTTTCTTCTACTTAATTTTGGTTCTTCTTCTTCTTTCTATTTGGCTGTAAGTCTTGGGCTAGTGTGACATTGTTACACTAATTGAGAAGTGGATTGTTCCGGTATTGTGGCATCCATCTTTCTCTACATGGTATTAGAGCCACAAGGGTGGTGGTGATGTTGTCTTGACTCCTTTGGTGAAGAAGATCAATTGTCTTTTTCAAGATGGATTCGGGTGGAAGGTTGAATGGTTGTAATGTTGAGTTGGAAACTCAACTCAAGGCGGTCTTTTTATTTCCCAATTCTTCTTAAAGATCTAAAATCTTTGTTTAGGAGATCTCTCGTTGGTCTAGAAGTGTGAAGAGTCTCAGGTTTCTCTGAAGAGACTCAGTGTCCATTAATCATATGAATATACAGACTTGACTTTTATAGACAAATTACATATGACAATAATAGAAACTAAATCGCAAATACCTAAACTATACCCAGACTAACCATAAAGTACAAATACTCTACTAACCCTTCCCATATATATTGATTACAATACATACCTTCTATATTAACTAGATATACAATATATATTTTCCTTTCACGCTCCCCCTCAAACTCAAGATGCTATGAAAGAGAGCAGTTGGAGTTTGAACACCAAGTCGTGAAAATGAGCATTTGGATCTTCATGTCCATACTCAGATTGCTTTATCAATAAGCCTTGAGGAACAAATGGCTTCAGGAACTCTCGAAATATATCAAACAAATCAGAGAGTTGAAACACGGCTCCACATAAAGACAAATCAGAGAGCCGAACACGACTGAGAAAATAGACAGATAAGAGAGTCGAAACACGACTCGCCAGAGAGGACAAATCAAAGAGTTGAAACACGACTCAGCAAAGAGTCGAAACACGACTCAGCAAAGAGTCGAAACACGACTTGACATAAGTTGCACAAACTGGGTGAGCAACATACTCGTATTGAGAATCGGTAACAATGCTTCAGGGACGAGGAATGGACACAGCTAAGATGAATCTGGCTCTGATACCATGTGAAGAGTCTCAGGTTTCTCTGAAGAGACTCTATGTCCATTAATCATATGAATATATAAACTTATCTTTTATAGACAAATTACAGATGACAATAATAGAAACTAAATCGCAAATACCTAAACTATACCCAGGCTAACCATCAATATAAGATATTGTATCTACCTTTCCCAAATATACAGATTATAATATACACCTTCCATATTAACGTGATAGACAATATATACTTTCTTTTCACAGGAAGAACCTATTCGGAGACACGAATGAAGTAACTTATCATTCATGGGTTAAAGAGAGAGTATATTCCCAATGTTACGTCTATTCAAGGGTGGGTTATGCAGCCCTACTAGGTAGAATTTGAGAATCTCTTTGGTGGCTTGCTAAATGGTTGGATTGTCAATTTTGGGAAATGATGGAGATGATCGTGCATGCAAATTAATGGAAAATTAATGGTTAGTAGTTATTGTTGCAAGTGGGGAAGTCCACAATAACTACTAACCACCTAGGCAAGTCCACAATAACTACTAACCATCTAGGCAAGTCCATTCTAAAAAGTATATTAGTTTTTATGTTATTTTATCATGAGTGATGTAGTAAGGTTGCACTTGTAAGTTTGTGCAGTAGCAGTTGCAAAACTACTAGGTGGTTAGTAGTTATTGTTGCAAGTGGGAAATTGTAGGAAATATGGTTGTAAAAACCCCTATTTAAAGATAGGTGTGTGGTGAGAAAACCGGGTCACATGTATTAAGGTTAATCTTAGGTGTCAAGATTGTAATGCCTTTGTGTACCCCTGGGTTATATGTATTAAGGTTAATCTTGCGTGTCAAGATTGTAATACCTTTGTGTACCCCATGTTTTTTATTAAAAGAATGTTTTTCTTCCACTTAATTTTGGTTGTTCTTCTTCTTTCTATTTAGTTGTGAGTCTTGGGCATGTGTTGTAAGATGCGTTATTTTAATATCCATATATCTCTAAGTCGAGATGATCAATTAGATGGTTTCCCAACATCAGATTTGCCTTTTCCGATGAAGTTTTTAGTTGCACCTTAATTTTACAATTTAAGGTCTCAAATAAACTTTTTCCTTTTCTATATGTTCAAATTTGAACACTAAACCCGCCTCAGCAGGTGCCGAGTCCAGTATCAACTGCCGAGTGTTTGGAGACTGATCTGAAAGTGGGAATGGGTTTAAAATTAAATGGAATTCAGATGTTATTTCATTTGTTTTCAGCTGGAATTTAGCCTACTATGGACTATATCCCACAAAATCCTGGCTTATTTTTTCAGCAATCATGTGTCCAGTTGAATGAAATTTCACCGATTTTCCAAAATGCATATACAGCACACAGTTTGACAGCTGCATCGATTTAATAAAATTAGGTTTAGTTTTCCAGTTCCATAAATAGAAAAAGTCTGGCAAATTTCTGCTGGAATTCTGCCAATTTCGGCCAGATTCATATTAACTGCTGAAATTGTATAAAATATTGTCCTAATTTGATCAAAATTTTATAGGTTTTGTCCATATTTCACCTTTACATTTAGCTCATTTCCTGGAATTTTACTATCTTTCCATGAATCGTAAACAAAACCCACATTCTATCTGACTTTTGTGACAATATGAATCTGTTTTTTTTTTCAGGATTTTGGATGGCAACGGGGAGAAGAAGTACCCAGTTTCTAGTTTCGAAATAGACTGTAGAGGTACATATTCATTTTCAGATTGTCTGCAATATATTGCTGGAAAAAGATAAGAAAAAGAAAGATCGAATTATTTCCATAATTCTGAAAATATAAATTAACTAAAACAACTGAGTCATGCCCCTGTTTTAAAACACTGAATCTCTCTCTCTCTCTCTCTCTCTCTCTCTCTCTCTCTCTCACACACACACACACACACACACGTGTGTGTGCGCATTGATTGTTGACTTTTGTGCCCATGTATTTTTTATATGTTGGACATTTGAGCCAAATAACACTAAATTTGGGTAATGTTGCTCCTAAATTTAGGAACTGTTTGATCTATATCTTTTGCGCTTATCAACTTCTTCAGGCAGAATATCATGATTGATGTTCAGGTAGGATGCAGGATCTCCTTAACTATTATAAATTCTAGTCTAAGACCATTGGAACATTATTTCCAATGAATTTTTCCTTTAGATCAGTGGTAGATCTTCTTATTATAACTCTAATAGGAATGATTTTGAAGTCAATCCTCAATGAAGAAAATGATCCAATAATTTTGGGTTTGAATTAGAGTTCCATTCTCACCAGGTCCTAAGTTAACATTAAAAAACGAAATGGAAAATAGCTAGAACTTTGTGACAGTTAAGGTGAAGTATGGTCCTACCTGATCGTTCGTGAACTTCAACGTTCGATAGTTAATAATAAGAAAGAGTTGGGTAGTACTACCTTATTCTTAGAGTATTCTATATAACATTAAGTTGATTCAGTTTCTTTATTTAGCATGTTGTCCTACATAATCAAATTTCTATCATTTATTTTCTTTGAACAAATATTAAGTTGATTCAGATTATTTCTTTAGCATGTATTCCTCTACAACTGTAACAATTTTGGTTATCTATTTCTAGGTGATGCATGCACCGGGGACGTGGTTCTGTTTGAGCAGAACGTCTATGAGATGTATGCTATTCAGTTTATTGATTGCTTGTTATTTGTGGCTATTGTTGACATTATAAATCTATTGTTTATATTTCATTCTTGTTTAATGAATTTCCTCAGGTTTAGCATAGCTTCAAGGAGTGCTACAGCTCCCTCATGCGGAACAAGGCTTGTAGCAGGTCGCATTGTGAAAGAAAGCTATGGGATGGCCAAACAACAACATACATTTACAGTACGGAGCCCTCATCACTAACTAATTTCCTTGTTAAATGGGATCAAGTTCTCTAATGGCAATCAAAAGCAGAACTGTAGAAATGTGATTGTTTTTAATGGTTTCATTTTTGTTATCTATGTACTAAGGTTGAGGTCCTATGGAGCAAAGGAGTGAAACCATGGCCTCCCCTTCACCCTCTTCTCATCAAGGGCCGCAACCTCTATAGACTCCAGACAAAAAGACAGGTAGTAGGCGGTCTCCTATTTTTTTCTGTAATTGGTTGCTCACCATTTTTTATAAGAGCTGCCCTTACTCATAGGTTGTTGTTGTCAACGTTTTGTTCAAAGCAATAACAGTCTATTGTCATATAAACAAGAGTAAAAATCTTTGAAATCTTATTATAAAAAAATAAAAAAATAAACTTAGAAATCTTTATTCAAATCCTTAAAAACACTAAATTACCACAGTGATGGTTGATGATTGTATTAGTGATATGCTTTGTTCATTCCTTAAAAATACTAAATTACCACAGTGATGGTTGATGGTATTAGTAATATGCTTTGTTCATGTATTATGCCAGTTTTAGATTCTTCTAATCTCAAAATATTTTGTCAGAGATGGGCTGATGAGAATGAGAGGAAGAAGGCTTTGGATGAGAAGCACTCAAGGGGCAATGTCGCTAGGAGCTCAAGAGAGGCAAGGATCCAACAGAAGCAAGAGAGAAAGAACTTGGCAGGAAGCACTAGGTAAGGGCATTTAATTCTCGGACTTCATGACTCACCTTCTAAGCCATCCAATTTGACATCTAATGCTTGTGACGTCCATGTACAAAAGATAAATGGTCTCTTTATAGATGATCCCTTTAAAGTATGGGGCCTATGGTAGAGAGAGAAAGAGAGAGAGATAGAGAGTACTTAATTAATTTCCATTTTACAGTTAGGGGTTAATATACATATTTTTCATTATAAAATTTTATTTTGAAAAATAGAGAAGATAGGGAGAGATAGATGTGTGAAAACGAAGACTAAAACTTAATATCTCTATCACCATTTGATTTGTCCATACAACAAACCTACATATGCTACTACCTCTTTGAAGAATAGGATAGATCAAAAAGGAAATTTTTTTGGAACACCAAAACAACACAGATCTTGTTATAATTGTTTTGCAAAGCGAATTTTCTTGTAGACTTAAGAAACTCTTTAATTCTTTTAAATTTAGAGAGAGAAAGAGAGAGAGATAGAGAGTACTTAATTAATTTCCATTTTACAGTTAGGGGTTAATATACATATTTTTCATTATAAAATTTTATTTTGAAAAATAGAGAAGATAGGGAGAGATAGATGTGTGAAAACGAAGACTAAAACTTAATATCTCTATCACCATTTGATTTGTCCATACAACAAACCTACATATGCTACTACCTCTTTGAAGAATAGGATAGATCAAAAAGGAAATTTTTTTGGAACACCAAAACAACACAGATCTTGTTATAATTGTTTTGCAAAGCGAATTTTCTTGTAGACTTAAGAAACTCTTTAATTCTTTTAAATTTAGCTGGAACAGTAGATTTTTCATCATTTGATTATTTTCTCTATTTGTCTGTCGATGTATGACATCCTAATCTTATTTTATTTCTTTAACATTCAAAAAAGGAAACAATTATATAGATGATCGGCAATTTTTTCTTTCTTTCGGAATTTTCAGGTTGAAGAAAATGATCGTGCAAGGAACAGGTGACCCCAATCAGAAAACTTCCATTAATTCTAATCCTCAAGACTGCCAACCCCAAAATTCAGTTACCCATTTGCCAAACTTTTCACTTAATTCACAGCCCAACAATTTATTTTATTCCAGACCACCCCAAAATCCAGCCATCTCCCAACCCAATATCATAGTCAGTTCTCAGGAACCAGTTAAATTCCCAATCAAATCCCCAATAAAACACAATTATTCTCCCCTTAATCCAAATCACTTGCCCTTAGATTATAGAAAGCCATTGTCAACCCTGAATGGCCATGTTATGTCACCTAACCATCAACATCATCATGGTCATCATCAGTGGCAACATTTTGCGGATGATAGAAACAAGTGTGGCGTGATGCCTAACTATCCTCACCATCATCATCATCCTCACCATCAACAATTAGCACATGAGCGAAACCAGAGTGTCATAATGCACCATCATAAAAATCATCCGAATGCTCAACACGGGGTATGTTGGCACTTTGCACAAGGGCGTTGCCGCTATGGCAGTGTTTGCAAATTCCAGCATAAATGAGCTTGATTCGTTTAGGTATTAAAGACGATTGGTTTGGTTAACGTATTAACGATGTTTGCTGCTACTCACATTATATTCCAAGTTCGAATCTTGTTGCCGAACTGCAGAAGAAAAGGAGAAAACTAGTTAAATCCCTTGTGGAATCATATGGATCAAGTCGTTTTTGGCTGAAATCATATGGAGTCGAGTCTACACACCAGTACTCGAGTTGTTTTTGGCTGAAATCATATGGATCTCTCTCTCTCTCTCTCTCTCTCGGGACTTTGTGTCCTTACTTGGATGGGATCAATCAGAATGCTTGTATAAGGAAGAAGCCACTAGTTTTAAGTTCTGATTGAATTGTGGTAATCCTAGACTAACACACAACCTAATCGATATGAAAAGTTTTGGGGAGAGAATATATGAGACCCACCAGAACATTATATGACCAAGTGGTTGGTTTCATTTCCTCTCAAATCACGTACTTGATTTTCGATTTTCCAATACTTTATTTTTATGAACTGCAAGTGCAACATTTCTTCTGCTTTCAAAATTTTGGAATCATGAGGAAGTAGGAGAATAAGTAAGAGATCAGGTGCTTTCCATGAAGGTTTTTCATCCTGCCCTATTCTCTCTCTATTGTTCTTTGGATACAGATTTAGAACTTAATAGTTTGATTGAAGAACATGAGTTTCAATCAAGTATGAGAATTCTTTGTTGCATTGCCTTCCTTGATGAATCGTCCTCTTATCTTCAACTTTTTGATGTTGCTACCCAGCAGAGAGAGTGCAGTGTGTGTGACAAGCCTACACAGACCCTGTACCCTCAAAATCCAATTGTCAACATATGAATGTCTCATAACTTCTTACTGGCCAGTAATGACTTTATGAAACTACGATTAAAGAACAAAGGGGGGAAGACTGCTAGACTTCCTCCAATCTTTCATGAGCTTTGCTTTGTTTGAATATTTCGAGATTGATGGCTCGCTAAGTGCTAATAAACTGCACTTGTAGGCTTCAAATGCTTAATTGATTTATCAGTTCAAAAAGTGACCGAAATTGCAACATTTCTTTTGATTCCAAAATTTGGAACCATGAGAAATTGGGAGGAAGAATTGAGAAATCAAATGCGTCCTCATTCCCGATGCTCTCTGCATTGTTCTTATATTATAAGTTTTGGACCTCGACAGTGTGATTGATAATATTAGACCAAAAGTACCAAATCCACTTTTGGGATGTTTTGACATCCTCCAGGGCTCTCAAATGCAACTCGAGAGTCCTGGAAAATAGGAATCCTGGATACTAGAGCCTTAGAAAATAGGAACCTTTGATTAATAATGTATCTTGATTCCTTGGTGATAGAAGCTTCCCATTTTTGGTAACCAAGGAGCTTGGGAATCTGGAAACCTTCATGTTTTAACCATTCATTACATAATTGGATGCTGAGTGTGAGCTAATCTTTTGATTTGATTTTAGTTCCCAACATCTATAGACCATGAAGTACTGCATTCTTGATTTGATCCCTTTTGAAGGGATGTATCACGTTCTCTAGCATGAGCTTCTACTTTTTGGTGTACATTTTCCATGCTTGAATTGTCATTCATAGGTTGCTTCATGTGCGTTATTAAAGGTCAACATTTTCTGAACTCGATGTAGAGAGAGACCCGCTATATATAGAACCACATCGAGAGGCTCGGCTGCATACCATACATAGTGAACAGCTATCGGCGGCTAGACTTCGAGCCCCCCTGGTAATGAGTCATTGGGAGCTAGTTCTCACTTCTGCCCAACTACAGGTTGAACTGGAACCATATGTCAGAGAGAAAAAGCTTTTCTTTGTCTGAACAACTCAATGCAGTTGTTCTAGGCTTAAATACGTGCCAGAATTCTTGCAAATACATTTCTATACACCAGAGAGAAATAAAAAAGATTCACTCACTATGATTATATAATCACTCATCACTTAGAATATGTGTACATTAAACACTTTACACACTACACTCTTACCTCATACTTTCTCTCTCTTCAACTACACGCACCACTCTTCCTCACTTCTCTCTTTCTCTCTCCACTAACTCACTCACTCTTTCTCTTTCTACACTCTCTCTCTACCACACTCTCTCACCCACTCGATCTCCCTCTACTACATTTCATCACACGACATTACACTTCACCATTACCAAGTATACTCCCTTTCCATGTGCCATGGGTTCACCATTTCAGTATTTTCAGCAACACTTTTTCAACAGTTTCAGTGGGGAGGTAGGTGTTGTCTTCCTTTTTCAACACCGACTTCCTTCAATTCTCCCCCTGAACACCGACTTTTCTTTCCCATTCTCCCCTTGAACACTGACTTTTCTTTCCTCCATGCAGAGGTCCCATCACCCGACAACATGGGTGACAATTTTTTCTGCACAACACCATTTACAAAGCCATCATGGACAAGGTTTCCTGCGACTTCATCGGTTACTCAATCAACGTCTCCATTTTGGACGTTGCATGCAGTCCATAAAAATAAAATGTAATGTTTGTGTTACCAAGCGGATCGGATTGAAAAATTCCGTGGCAACCTATCAGATGGCTATGACAACCATCTTCCATGACATGATGTATGTAGAGATGGAAGACTACATAGATGACATGATGGTAAAGTTGCGAACCGACAGTTTCATCACTCTACGGGAATGACCGGTTGGAAATGAGCTCTGCCCAACCATTTGCTGCCCATGCATGATTGCGTCACTTTCGATCTTCAGCTTCTCAAATACTAAAACATGATACACGTCCTCTCCCGCATGAGGCTCGACTTCATCTACCTCCAACGTGGTAAGAGCGAGGGATTTCTCCCTCTCCTGGTGAACTTCCATTGAGGTTGTCTTCACGACCTGTGCAAATCTGGCTTGTGCAACCCAAGCATTATCATCGTCCTACAACTCTAGTTGTGCATCATCGTCTGCAAGTTCCTCGGATTCCTCCAATTGTCTTTGTTCAACTGATTCATCAGCTCTCTTGTAGAGCTTCCTGCATCGGTCGATCAATAGTCAGCCAATTCCAAACTAATCAGTTTTGTCTCTTCAGGTACTGCAAAAGGTGCCTGGACATCCCAATCTTCTTCAATCACTAACTGGTGACTTGCTGCAGTCAGCGTATTTTTTTCAGTTGTTATCTTTGTCTTGGACCAACACTCACGAGCAAAGTGGCTCTTTTTTCCATAGTTGTAGCACTCCACATCTCATCAGGATCTCCTTGGTCGCTGATCTATGGCGGTGTCGTCTTGTCTAGCTCCCCATGTTGGGAACCTTCTCTCTTTCGGCTGGTCTCGGCAATCCCTCCTGCCTTCTTTCGTGCGAAGAGCACCTCGTCTTCTTTTTTTACACATATGTCGGCCATTTGTTTGGTTCGGATCTCTTGGTTTGTCAGCAGACTTTCTACCGCCAGAAGAGACGGCTATGTTTGCCATTATCTGATGGCTGTCATGAACCCATTGTATTAGGGTCTCAAGCCTCTCGTCATGATACGTCTCATTTTGGTTTGATGATCTAGAATTTCGAATCGAGTTTAGAGATCTCGTGGCAGAGAGATTTTACTTTTGAAAAATATTGGCTAATAGACATCGTACCTTGAGATATGGATCCGAGATCCTTTCCTAAGAACTGCAACCGAGCATCATTAGTCTTGGTAAATAGTATTGCCAGTGCATCCCAGGCTTCCTTTGGAGTGGTGGCTCCTCGGATATGGTTCAACAGATCCTTTTGAAATGTTGTCTTCAATACGAACATGGCCTACCTGACCTTGATGCGTCATTGTCACAGTGCCTCAGCATTCTCTCGTATTGGTTCAACAATTTCATTGTTGCTGTTGAATTGTCACAGTGCCTCAGCATTCTCTCGTGTTGGTTCAACAATTTCATTGTTGTTGTTGACCTCCCAGAGGTCTTGTCATGCAAGTATCTACACACGAACGCCAGTCATCGTAGTTGTGATGATTTAGTTTCTTGAGCCCTCCAGTTATATTTGTGAGGTTTGTCATCATGATTGGTGTGATCGCACGTCGATTCCAACACCAGAATCTCAATCCCTTACTAATCAGATTCATAGCGTCTCAATGCTCATTTAAGATTGCCCCTGACCGAACTCGCTTTGATACTAATTATAGAGTTTTTTCTAGGCTTAAATACGTGCCGGAATTCTTGCAAATACACTTCCATATACAAGACAGAAACAAAAAATATTACTATATTCACGTTATCATTCATCACTCTTTACATATCTCTTTACACTGAACTCTCACTTCCCACTTTCTCTCTCTTCACCTACAGGCATCACTCTTCCTCACTTCTTTTGCTTTCTCTCTCCACTCAAGCACCTCACCCACCCACCCACTCTTTCTCTTTCTACTCTCTCTCTCTCTACCACTCACTCGCTAACCCACTCGATCTCCCTCTACTACACTTCATCACACCACATTACAGTTCACCACAATCTACTTATAACCAAGTATACTCCCTTTCCATATGCCATGGGCTCACCATTTCATTTTTTCGGCAACACTTTTTCAACAATTCTGGTGGGGAGGTAGGTGTTGTCTTCCTTTAATTAGAGATAAGGACGTCGGTGATGACTTCCTTCACGTGATGGTTGCTTTATTCTTTGATAAATTGTTTAACTGTTTGTCATGCTTCTATCTTCTTCAGATGATTGACTTCTAATAGTTGTTGGTTCATCATGCAAGACACTCAAATCCATTTTTTCAACAATGGTGCATCTGGGAGAATCTATTTAGGACTTTTTTGGTAGCAATCTGACGGTCTTCTCCTTCAATTTCTTAAAGCTTTTGAGGGGAATGCATTCGCTTTTCATCCAAGGTTAGGAAAAGAGCCCAGGTTTAATTGGTTAGCGTTTGACGATTTGAAACGCTGCATCTTAAACTCAATTTCTAGGACAGATTTGAAACGCTGCATCTTAGCCTCAATTTCTAGGACAAAGGGCCTCCCCACTAACTAAAAAAATAAATAAATAAATAAATAAATAAAGAAAAACAAAAAAGAAGAAGAAGGATAAAGAGAGAAAGATAAACGTGTTGAGAAATTAGCATTCTAACACTGATTATGTGAATGTTGTGGTAGCCCATGAACACACATAAGGGTGGCAATGGACCTGGACCCGACCCATACTTGACGGGTATACCCGATACGGGCATGGGTATGGGTCTATGTTTTGGACCTGCAGGTAGGGTCCGGGTCCAATAAACGGGTTTGGGTATAGGTC